ATTGATTCTATCAGAGATCAGCTAAGTAGCTTAGATCTCCAACACTATATAACCTATAGGCTATACTATTAAAGCTTAATATAGTGGCGCAGACACTATATTAATTACTGCGATAGATAGCCACCTAGGAGGCGCAGACACTACGCAACGCGCGCGAAGTTAAGGCTTAAATTAGTCTTATTTAATAGAGCGTGAGAAAGCGCTGTAGGTCTTCTACTAACTTACTTACTAAGTAGATCGCGTAGTTAAGTAAGAGAGCTTAGTAAATAGTATATAAAATAACGCTTATAATAGAGGAAATAAGTACCCTTTAAGCAGCTCTAGACGAATTAAATAAGCGTAAGAGTCGTAAGCGGCAATACGTATAGATAGAAGAGACTCTTACTATAGATAAGGTATAAGAAGTATTAGCTAAATAAGCGGGTAGTAGTTATAGCAACGGTAAGAGTGCGTCGAAGAGGGTGCGAGGAGAGAGGCAGTGCAGGCGTTATAACTAGACTAGACATAACGTTCGTACCTACGTAGTTAAGATAGATAGTATAAGTAATAGTATTAATTCTAATAATTAATTTAGTATATTATAATAGTTTATTAACTGTGATAAAAATGCGTGATAACGTCTCGACGTCGACGTGCTAGTGGGGAGGTGGCCACTCGCTTGGGGTGGCCACCCGCTTATGAACTACGTTATCCTTGATCACTTTATAGTCATATCTCATATGGAAAAATCTTCATTCCAACATAGTAGAGATGTACTTACAAATAGAGATGTAGCGCTGATCTGGGCGATCCCTGGGTCTAATCAGGATACGAATGGAATGTGAATCGGGGTCAGGTTTGCTAATGCTACTGGGGTCTTGTGTTGTTACAATATAGAAAGACGTGGTTCTGTTTTAACTGGCTCTCCCGCAACTTGATAAACTGGAAATCACCATTCTATATTATAGTAAATTACTGCTTTTTAGAAGAGATATAGAAAGTAATCATTGAGTATGGCAACTACCACTGCTTCATAACCTGACTGCTAAGAGTGGCAGTTGTCATGGTTATTTACTCTATACTATCTTGACAGCATAGGCGGCCTTGTTTGATTTTCCGGTTTCACCGACTACGGAAGATGTAGTCCTTCTTCTAATCTCTATGCGATAAGGTGACACAATGCCATCATTGCAACATGTAGCGAGCCAATCAATCACGTCAGACAAGCACGCGCTCTTTGCAGATATCAGCATCACACACTCTTCTACACTTCAGAAACCGTTTCGACTCGAACCTCCGTCTTGTGATACCATCTTAAACTCGGTTGCATTCATCGAAACGTGGGGTTTACCTTCTACCTCCCACAATTGTGTAAGCGCCAGGTAGAGTGGCTGCCCATGAAACACAACACCGTCTCACGTGCCTGCGAGGTTGCGGCGCAGCGCCTGGGCGTGTACTCGATGACACAGTGAAGAGATCGACTTCACATAAAAGGCATCTTGAAGTTCAACCATCTTTCGTTAGACCTCGCACACGTTTTATTCTACCTTTCTTTTAACACCCAGATTGCACGCGGGCCATGAACGAGCATCATCTGGGGACCGCTCTTAGCAGACATTCTGACTTGTTGGCGCAACTTGGAGATCGAGAGCCAGCAAGTTTGATCGAGGCTCAGGCAGTCATCGAGAATATCAGGGCTGAGAAGGGTTATCTGGACAGCGAGACCCTACAAGATCTTCACAAAATCAACGAGCAGAGTCGGAAGAAGATTCTGCATTTAGTGGAACTAAAAAGAAAGACGGAGGCGGCGTACACAACGAGGTACGACTTTCCACATCACCTCGGCATCAATTATTGAAGTCATCTAGTATTTCTGAACAACTTTACTCATCGAAGTTCCGTTTTTTGTATGAACTAATCCAGAATGCGGATGATTCTTCTTACCGTATCTCCACATCGGCATGGCTACGCTTCGAAGTTACGCCAGAAAAGTTCGTGATTGAGACCAACGAACTCGGGTTCAAACGAGATAACATCGAGGCTATCTGTGCGACTGGGCGAAGCTCGAAGAAGTCGTCGGCGGAGGATGATCATATCGGCGAAAAGGGCTTTGGTTTCAAATCAGTCTTTTCTATCGCTGAAAAAGTCCACATACAATCTGCCTGGTGGTCATTTTGCTTTAGACACCGAAAAGGCGAGGATGGGCTCGGAATGATAACGCCATTGGATGCGGAGCCCAATGTATTGCCCGAAGGAGTAACAACCAGAATCTCAATGCAGTACTCGGAAGAAGCGAGACAAGACTATCAGCGTCTTGTCGAAGCTGTCCGGGAACTGCCAGATACGACTATCCTATTCCTGCAGAGGCTTCGCGAGATTCACATCAACATTCTTGATGATACTGGACAGTACGAAAGGACCAGTATTAGCAAGCAATACGATTTGGGAAACCGCACATGCACCATTGAGCGTCGCCAAGTTTCTCAAACTGCTGATATAGTAGACATCTGCAGATATCATCTATTTCGCAGCACTGTGCGTAACATGCCTGTGCACGAGCGTCGACAAGACCGCACCGAAGCGAAAATTGAGCTCGCCTTTCCGTTCGATTCCATCACCCAGCAACCTAAGCTCTCGAAACAAGGTCAGCATATCTTTGCATTCTTGCCGTTACTTCGGCTAGCCCAGCTTCAGGTTCGTCATCCAAATAGTGCACAAGCTCCAGCTAATGATGAGACCTAGTTTTTGATACACTCCGATTTTATAACTTCTGCAAGCCGGGAAAGTGTTATCGATTGTCCATGGAATCTCAAGCTGTGTGAAGCAATAGCAGATACGTTTGTGTCTGCTGTGAGCGGCACATTTGCCAGACCAGATCATCACTGCAATCACTCATGGCTGGACTGGCTACCGAATTCAGGGATGGATCGTCCTTGGAGTTCACTGTATACTTATATCGTGAAGACGTTATCTACAAAGCCAGTTGCTCAGACTTGGGAGAGCTCACGGTGGGAGGTACCGAAACAGTTGCGGATTGTATTGCCAAACGCTATGCATCACGGATTGCCCATCCTCCCCGATTTAGAAGATGAGATCTTCCTGGCTCCAGGATACACGACTAGACAAGTATCACGACTAAGGGAGTTGGGAGCTACCAACCTCTATTGGGATGAATTGATCGACCGCCTTCAAGCTGATTTGTTACGACCAGGGTCAAGACTCAAAACGACCCTGGCTACTGATCCATGGCATGAAGCTTTCGCTGGTCTCTTCCTCAAAATCTTTGAGACTGACGAGACGGCAATGAACAGAATAAAGCAAAGAATTCGAAGATTGGGCATCATTCCATTGCTTAATGGAATGCAATGGACTGGCGCACCTGGAGCTGGCATGGGTGGCTCTGAGAAGGTTTATTTCTCGTATACCGATCAAACACCGATTCCAGACCTATTCAATATGCGACTCCTCGACAGGTCTGCGTCTCGAAACACAAGGCGTAGAGCATTTTATAAGGCCTTAGGCGTCGAGGAATGCACCCGAAGCACAGTGTTCGCGAAGATCAAAGAGAGCCATCAGTCCCAGCCACCAGCTTGCGATGCAATTGCTGATCTCCAGTATCTGTACCATCAACGCTACGAATCAGATGACCTCAAGAGCTGGATTTGGGCACCTCTGACAACTGGCAGCGCCATCAAAGCTGCCAACAAGATATTCTACTTGCCGACGAATGGTGAGTTTGATATGTACCAACTTGTGCCGTCATCGAATCGATGCTTTCTTTCGAAGACACTGTATGACATCGAGCCTTCGGATGTACTCGTGAACAACGAAAGCTGGCGCAATTGGCTTGCCCGAAGCTTTTTGGCACAAAGCCACCCGTTGCTTATAGGCGGCCCATCGTTGAATTGGAATGGCCATGAGCTTTCGCCGTCCCTGCAGTATGTTTTGAAGCATATCCCAGCCAAATTTCTAGGAACACTCCGCGCCCATTGGCAAATCTATCAAATTCGGGCTCACTTGGTCGAAAAACCTCTACGCGCGTGTCATGTTCCGTGCATGTCGGGAACTTCTGCACCATTGGCGCTTGCGTATCTCCCAACGATAGACATCATGAACGAGATATCACGACTCGGCATTGAGGTCGATGCCGTACAGCTGTTGAGTGTGACTGAAGGCACACTCGATGAGGCTACCTACAGGTCATGGAAATTTCTTGAAGACTTCGGTGTCACCTCTAGGCCTAATTTGAAGTTCTATGAGCTAGCTATTGAGTCAAAGGCTAAGCAGACCACGAACGTTGATGTCAATGTGATCGCGGACATATATCTACAGATGGTTCGAATGGCCACGATCGAAGACCATGACCATTTTAGGTTAGGTTACCCTCCGCCTCTTCTTTGAATCGCTAACTAATATGTACATAGAAACCGTTTCGACAACTACTGCATCTGGGATGGCCATCGTAACGAATGGGTCACGCGCAAAAATTGTTTATGGGATGGTCCTGAGTTCATCAGCTCCAAATCTGTTCTTTCGCGCACGTACAATGGTTTTCCGTGTCTTGGCAGTTTGTTCTCCACCATATTGGATGTGCCAAGCACGAAAATCGAAGATGTGATACAAGAGATCGAGGCACGGCGTGATGGAGAAGAAACTGTCGCTCTAGATTTTATGCATCAGATTTATACATATCTGCACAAGGTGGCGAGTGGTGACGAAGACTGGCAGAAGATAAAGTAAGTCACCATTTCGACTCTCTCGAGTGGTATCATGTTACAGCACAAAGGTCGCCAAATGCTCGCCAATCTGGAGCGAGCATTTACCTACCAGGCGCATGTTTAACCCAATTAAATCGATCATACAGAGTAAATTAATATGCTAATAATAAGATAGGAGTGCGTTCACCGAGAGGCAGCTAGTGCTCGGTGATAACGGGATGTGGTATACTTTATCGAACTGCCTCTGGGGTAGTCCTTTTGCCTTGAGTGGGTTGCAAGACCTCTCAAAGATATACTCTGATATGGAGAATCTTTTCGTCCGAAGACTCAAAGTCAAGAGGGCGACTCTAAGTATGCTGATTGCTGAGGTCAAAATTATGGCCGAGGCAAGACAGCCACATGTCGAGAATATGAAGACGCGCTTGATTGATATCGGCAAAATGCTGGCAAAAACCCCGATGGATAGCAGTGTTTCGAAAGCGCTATCCAACCTCAAAGGGATCAAATTCTTGCCTAAGATGTCGAACGATGGCATATCTGTGCTTGTAGGTGCAGAAGAAGACTTTGCCATATCAGATCATCAACGATATGGCGACGCATTTGCAAACAGCAATGCTTTGCTTGACTTTCGGGTACATGAGGTCCAGAGTCTTCATAGCATCTTCAAACAAATGGGCTTGATGCATCGCTATCTTTCGTCCTTGGTGAAGGAGGTTTCTGATGTTGGAGAGAACTGCATTGAGGACGCGGTTTTGTCTCAGCAGCTCCAGGTCAGGGCTTACGCATTATACTGGTATGTTTACAACTCTTTTCTATGGAAACAACTGGACTATTGAATATTGGCAGAAGTCTGCATGGGAAAGAATAAACCTCTGACCATTGAAAAACATCCTACTTATGCATGAGCTGGTCTACCATACTGTTATTCACACTATAAATGCTGACGAAAAATAGCTGTGCCGCAAAACACAAAAGCAGAAAGGCTTTTCACGGAGATCGTAAACTTTTCGAGCAGCTCACTACGATACGCGTCTATACTACGGACGACATGACCACGAATCTTGTACTTAACCTGAGCTCTAGTACGATCAAAGTGCAAAGTGAGCGAATCGCCATACATAGCGAGATTTCTGAAGGCATGATCAAGATATATGTCCCTTATAAGACACAACAGCGTCGAATCTGTTACCGTTCGCAGCTTCCAAATTTGCTCACAAATATACTGAGTACCGGTCCATCGGCCAATTTCGATATCTCGACTATCATCTCGTCGAGTATTGAAGAGCTTGAGGATGTCCTGGTCGAGCAAGACATTCCACCAGTGTCATGGGTCAACAAACCTATGATAGTGGTTCCATATGGTCCGGAAGACGATAGGCCAATCACGCCCCCGGCATTTCACACCGGTAGTGACTCAGCGACAGCATTTTCGCGCTCTAGACCAATAACACCTGATGCGACACCCACATATCATGGACGAGCAGTGCCGACTCCAGATGAAGAATACATCGCAGAGGCTACTCCACCTCCAGAATACCCTGTACTCATAGAGCAAATCGTCCGAAGTGCACAAAGAACTAGTCGCGTGCGCCACAATGCCGAAGACATTGCTGATCAAACGACGTTCGCCGATCGAGCTCGGGACTATGATCACTACGCGACTTTTGGTTCCCGGGAGAGAGATCCTTTCGTGCATGATAGACGTATTGGTGCTGCAGGCGAAGGCTATGTAAGTTCATCATTCCTACCAAGCTTGACTTACTGACGTGCAGTTCAGGTCTTCGAATTGCTGAACAGCCTCAATCTACCGAAATTTTCAGAAGCAAATTGGCGCAGCACCATCCGCAGCGAACTTTCACGCTCAACGCACTTCGCAAATATAGCGAATTGGACAGGCCGCGAAACAGCAGATATCGTATACAAGGACGAATCTGGGCAGCTTACCCAGTACCTTCGTGAACATTGTAAGGGCGACTTCCCAAATCAGATTCGCGAAGACAGGAACTTTCAGACGCATCCGATCGAGTATTTTCTCGAGGTGAAGACCACAACTGGAGATTGTAAGACGAGGTTCTACATGAGCTCTGGGCAGTATAAGCGGGTATGTGATGTTTCGAACAAGAACCAAACTGCTTTGGACGAGCAACTACTAACACTTGCCTCTAGATGGAGAACATGGCGCTTGGAGTTTTTGAGTGGCATCCTAGCCAAATATATGTCATCATGAGAGTGTACGATTTGATATCACCAGACGTAGGCCTGAAGATATATATTGATCCTCTGCGGTTCAGAAACACCAAGTTGAAATTTGAGGCGGAGCAATGGTTTGTCAGTACTCTGTAGTGCAGCACAGATCATTTCAATGTAGTCTCAAATGTACACACTTGATAGGACTCGCTATGACTGCGATCTAGGCGAGTCTGCCATGCAGTCAGATGCACATCAGGGTGGTGACTTTGGCCAAAGCAGTGAAAGCTAGAATGCAATCTGCATGGAGTACCAATACAAAAATGGAAAGAAGCAATGCATACAGAAGAATCACAAAGATGTAGAGCTTGAAAAATATTTATGTGTTACTTTCCGGCAGTAGTTTTAATCTAAAAGTGACATACAGGGTTAACGCTCTGGCGTGCCGATGACTTGAGACAGCCATGGCGCTCATGACTATCACCCCGCTACAGCACAGCCAAGCCAAATGAGATCACTGTTGGCACGATGAAGGTGCACGAGGTGAATCAACTTGCAGCTGCAAATACTGTAGTGAGGAAGCGAATTGATTGTCTGTATCTGCTATCGTGTTGAGTATCTACAGGGACTTCGAGCCCACACCACCGCTCTTGCCACCGCCACTCAATCTATTCTCGGAATTATTATGAATATCGCCATTCCATACATGGTTAATCCGGACGAAGGAAATCTAAAAGGTAAGGTCGGCTTTGTGTTTGGCGGCCTTGCCGCTATTGCTACTCTCGGTGCACGGATCTATGTCCCAGAACTCAAGGGGCGTACAAATCGTGAGATTGATATGCTTTTTGCGGCTCGTATTCCTACAAAGAAGATGGGCTCGTATCATCTTGATCAGGAGGTCGCATCAGATGCAAGAATGACCATGAAGCGAATCCAGGCTTGATGATATGTTTCTTCTTTAAGTCCTTGTTCACAGACCTCGTGTAAAAACTCAAGTGTTATATGTATCTCTAAGTAATAATACAACCCCGGATTTCATCGCGTAGAAACTGATTGGCAGGATCTTCGCGCGCAAGCCACACCGCAAGACTCGTCATGAAATTACCTATCTGGCCTACGTCGCTGTTGCCGTGGAAGAGGGAAAAAGCTAGCACCCACACATGTGAACATTATAGCTGAAACTACTAAAGATATGATTAATAAGGTAGCAGGTTTGAGGAGCATAAGCGCACTTGACTGAGGAGTAGGAAGGGTTGGTTTCATAAGCTGATCAGTATGAAAAGTGAACTCCAAGTATCACCAAGCCAGCTATCGTCAAACATTGATGCTAATATGCTGCTGGAGAGCACATAGTCTTGTTTATTTTTGCCTCAAAAGATTTTTTGATGATACTTCGGCAAGTTATCTGTCTGACTTTCATCTATATTGCGCTGAATCAAAAGTCAATATGCGTGAGCCATAACCGCATAGTAGTATTAGTGAGAATCATGTTTTGTTTACTAATCATCTGGTTTTGATAAAAGTATTAGGGATATTTACATTTTACTCTGGGCATAAGACTTAGTAAGAATGTAAGTAAAGATCATTGTAAATAAGCTCATGGCAAGTCCACCGATCCAAGAGGCTTCAGCGTCATCTCTCACCTTGTCACCACTCACAAAGAGAACAACCCAAGCCCTGTTACCTAGCCCCAAGACAGTTCCAGTGCACCAGCAGCTTTCATAGAAACCGATCAGCTCGAATATAGAACTCAAGATGATCCAGGTGGCATTGACAACTGCAACAGATTTACCAACTAACCGCATAAGCACGGCAAGTCTACCAACCCATTTGATCTGAGGACTCCGTGGAACTTCGTGCGCTGCACCTACTGCTCTGTTCCGTCGCTCTTTTTGATATATAAGCATTACGTGGTGTGAAAGGACAACAGATATCAACAGAAGAACGTGTGCGGAAGTTGCGAGGATGCCGTATAGTAGATAACTCCCAGAGCAACATCCGAGACCGCGCACCTCTGTCAGGTATGATATGACAATGGCCGACCCAGTGACGCCCCACTGAAGAAATACGGCGACAATATTGGAGATTATGAAGTTCCATTTCCAATCAGAACTCTCTTTAACATCCTTCCAAGTCATGTATGGCTCATCAATATAGTGAGATGAGCCGACTGCGACCGGGGTCGTGTTAGTTCGGTGAACCTGATCTACAGGATCAGAAGGATCAGCTCGAACTTGCTGTGCATCCTGCAAATCGCGCCTTTTTTCGAACTCATCAACGATTCTGTCTCGTAGTTTTGGATACGTCAATATGCGTGCATAATTGTAAGCGGGGCCCTGGTGTGCTTCGTCTCCTTGCACACTACTCCACAGGGCATGATGTAGTTGCTTCAGCTTCGGCGGGTTTATGAAGCCAGACTCGGCTTCTAGTGCTTTTATTGGGGCAGACTTTCCACTTAGTATCTCGCCTTGTATTGCTTCTCGTACGGCGTCCTTTCGTGATTGTGTCCCAACAGCCATCCAACCCAAGACTACCGGAACTAACCAAGTCCAAAGCGTGCCGGAGGAGAGCAAAAGAGCTTCGGAATGCTGACCGAGCGATGTAACGTACGATTCAACAATGGTCAAAACCCAAGCAATGACTGCAAAAAAGGTCTGCGCAAAGAGGGAAAAGGTGTACTGCCGGCGAGTCTTATGGAGACGCTCTTCGAGGGGTAGCCATCGATCACGCAACCGCTCGGTATCCTCCTCAAACAATTTTTGGAACTCATCTTCTTGTATTCTGATTGGAGACTGCTGAGAGTTACAAAGGAAGTACTCCGCCGCATCTATTGCCTCACTCAAAGGTGATTTAGTTTTACCGTTACCGAATTTGGCTGCGAATATCAACGATGTGGAATGCGCATTGAGAGCTGTCGACATAAGAGAGAAGGTAGATAACATCGGACTTCCGACCGCGAGGCAGAAGCTCTCAAAGTTCCCAGATATGGAACCCGTTTCGTACGGTAGTTGCGCCGTCAGACCGAGCCAAGGTAGGAGGTAGTTTGTCACACCCGATGTGAAGATTGGAAAATCAAAGACCTGGCAAAACTTAGCGTTGAAATCATACAGCGCGAATTCTAAAACTCAAATTATGCGTGGAAACTCCATAAACCGGTACCTCCGGTTAAGTGTGCTGGTAAGGGGATGACAATACCATAGGAAAGTTCTGCCTGGCGCAGTACGCATGACAAGTCTCCATATCAATACCCCATGCATCCCATGCGTCCTTGACAAATGTCACGGGCTTGCGGCCATGCTGTGCGACCAGACCCCCAGCTATTTCCGTGAGGTTTTCGGCCTCGAGAAGGCGGCGTACACACTTCGTTGCCTACGAGGAGCCATCGCCGATCGGCGTTAGGAAATCTGTCAGCGTTGTATTGTTCATGTTATGAAAATGTAGAGATGACTTTCGAATCACAAGTATATGCTAGGAGAGAGATCAGACTTATCAGTCTCGCCTCAAGGACCAGGCTGGCAGGCAGCAGTTGCAGCTGCATTGGGTGTCACAAGCATACGGCAGGTATCGATGAATGCGGCTAAAATGAGGCGAATGTTTGACGATCCAATCAATCATGGTCGGTTGAGAATCTCGCATATGGTGGGGGCTGTGCTCAGCGTAGCAACACAGCGCATTCTACAGTAACGAGGTGAGGTTGCAAGCCACATTACCTTAAGACGGGGTTGATATAACGCAAGGCCACTCAGCGTTGATGATTAAGCGCCGCGATGCTACTTCAAAACACCGATCGCCACCAATAGGCTATAGTTGGCTTTTCAAGGGCATTTAGAGATAGAAAAGGCTTAAAGGCGTCTGAAGTAAGCTGAAATTGATGCGGCGCCTACAAAGTATATTTCTGCGATCTTCATGGCTACCACTGAATGGCCAATATATCCCAGAACAGAAATGTAAGTCCAGGCTGCACTTACCTCGAACACATGACTGTGTCCAATTGTATATGTAGTTCCGCGGAATGCTATCTGCACCCCACAGAGAACCTAAATGTTTGACTAGATCTATATCTACAAGGCCAGACTTCAAGAAACTTCAGCCTCATCACTCAAACTCAAGTATCGTTCTAAGGAAGATAGTATGGTAAAGATGATAAACAAAGCCAACGGAGCTTGAAGCTGCGTATCTACGACAAACGCGTAGCGCTATGGTTTCCTGATCCTCCTAATCCTATTCTCTGCGCGCTTCTCATCTAAACGGTATAGCTGCACCAAATCTGCGCATAAAGAGCGTGAATGTGTTACGACGCTTATTTCTGGTGTGCAATCGAATTCAGGTATTTAGACAATGAATACTGTCATATATCTGTTACAATATTGCCGGAATAATTTGCTTTAGCAGGCAACGCCTGTGATGGATCTGAGATGACAAATGCACGCTACTAAGGTCAAGATCTCTTAGCGTTTTCATTATATTTTTCGTGCACGCCTGCTTTTTACAGAATTTTATCATTAACATATTTTTGCGATAGATTAAAGTATATAATTGTAAATCCATACCAAGTTCAGTACAATTTTGATGCGCAGTCACATTGTTAATACAAGGCAATTTGGCGAGATCTCTCTCATTGGGAAATGCCCAGCGCTTAAGCTTTTACTCTATACACACCTCTATCAGACAAGCTTTCGCCCCATCTTACTTGCTCTGGATCGTAAGATTCGTCATAAATGAAACAACAATGCTAAAATAAAATTACACATCCTAATATAACCATAATCGTTATCCATCTGATGAATGATGTCTGGTTGATTACAACATAGCCAAGGTACTTCCACAATAGGGCATTTCGTGCTGTGGTTGAGCCGTAAACCCCTGAGAGCATACGAAATGCCCAAAACTATCTATAGTATAACCTTTGACTCCCCATTGCAGTCTAGAGATAAGAGAAGGGTGCCCTTTCCCAGGTAAAGTATAACAAGCTGCAGGAGTCTGGAAGCGCATCATGGGGACATTAGAGAGAATGCGAATTATTCAAAATGCTTTTGACATCAAAAGGATCATGCTGAGTGGGGAGCATGCAAGCCAGAACTGTCCAGTGGTATCTGTTCTGATTGGATGCTTGCCTGATTATCGGAAGCATATCTTTCAAAACGAATGGAAAAGATGGAATTTGATACGAGCTAATGCGAAAGCCCAGACAGTATCATAGGAGGGAGAGAAAAGCGATATGGTAGCTGCAGGAAGTGGGTGCGTCGCTGCTGAGCATGCAGGGTTCTAGACACCCGTAGTCCTTTACGCTAACTGGCATAAAATCTCTCACTCTAAAACAGCGGGAATTGATGTGATCCTTTGAGTAGACCTATTCTTGGGCATATTATGTCTTCAATAACGCGAAAATCTCTCGTTCATGATACTGGCGGTGATAATGTTGATTGTACGGAATGTACAGCGTGAGGTTTAAAGGTTGCGCACAATTGTACATAGCAAATGCCAGATTAAAATGAATGTCAGATTGTGAGAATGGTAGAAGGAACTTAGCCAACGAGATACTATGGTTGGGATGACAGCACAGCCGAGAGAAAAGTAGGGATGAGAGGGCGATGCCATTGTAAGCAAACATCATAGCTCTACATCAATGAGAGGAAAATACGGCATTCTCGGCTCAGATGTAACCGAGGTAATGCACGTTGTGCCTCATGTGTCGTTGTACGACTTCGGTTGAGGAAACCATGGTAGATTTAAGGTGATACTGCATAGCCAGCGTTGACGTGAGCGGTGTTCATTGTCACGCAAAAGTCACCCAGGGTGCCTCGACTTTCAACATATAGAGTTGGGTAAAGCAGAGAGGCACATGTGAGTATTGCAGGTGCGGATAATCATAGAGAAGGAACACGAGAAGATATGTGTCAACCTGCATATTTAATAGTGGAAAGAGCCTTCGCGTCTATCTTGTGAGATGAGTTGTCTTGACGGTTAAATCCTACAACTCTTTTGAACCAGAACTGCCACGCAACCTCACAGATCACTACTTCCAACGGCCTCACCTGAGCCAGGACCGACACTAAAGAAGCAAAGATCTATACCCCAACCCCGTGTGTTACATGAACTTGACCCCAAGTATGCGGCCTAGATGGCTAGATTGGCGATACGAACGGTTAAATTCACGGACCGAACCCGCGGATGCGCGGCGGCCTGAGACTTGGCGATCTTGGCTAGGATTCAGGGTCGAATCCTAAGAACCGATATAGTTAGTGTTTGCTGCACGGAGCGCAGATCCTTACATACACAGTACGATCAAGCCTCTTTTACAATGTGCAGGTTACCTGGATGTTGTGGTATTGTGTGTAGTAAGCAGGTAACAATCAAAGCTGAGCGGGGTCTTAGCATCGTGAGCTACTGGCCATGCTGAGCCACTCGCTATGCTGTTACTTCAATCACACGACGATCGTTAGGCGACCATCTGCAAGGCGGGCTATCTGGAAGGCAGGTAGCTATTTGCGGGGTATACTACCTACGGTACTAAGACCTAATAGGCGATATGTACGGGCATCTATCATCAGGGACGTCTTGGAGACACAGTCAGTGCTGAAATCCTACACCAGGAATATGAGATCCGCATGTTGGAGCAAAATAATCAGTGTTTGATTCGTCGCTCGGGGTCCAACACAGAAACCTAATTTACTTCTTCTTTAGGCGTACCAAATCCTCAGTATACTGATGTTTGAATTAGCCCTTTCAAGAATCATATCCCGAGAACTTTCCAAAGAAAGGTAGTAAGTGACATAGTCTTCGAGCGTACATTAAGAAGACTCGTCATGTGACTAAACGAAAGAGAAGCCTGAGTTGATGTATAAAAGGCATACAATTCTCCTCAAATTTGGAAAGCATCCAGACAGCATCCATCAGCCTACGGTCAACAATCAATCGCACACGCAAACGAAAACCTTGAAAGTCAATTTTCAACCAACCTCAAGCAAGTCTTCGAGCCTATCTCTATACCCCCATTTCCTAACACCCCCTTAGGCAACAATGAAGTTCACCACTTTCGTCCCCTTCCTCTTTGCTCTTGGAGCCGCTGCGCAGCAGAGCGCCCCCGTTGTTGGCGAGGCTGTGCTCGATCTCTCTGAGAATCGCCCAAGCCATGCTGACGTTGAACGTTCTGACGTTCAGCTCGTGGGTACCAACTCTCGCAACCCACGCAGCCTCCGAAGCGGAAACCTCCTCAAGCGTGAATGCCAGGGAGCCAACAGCTATGGCTGCTCTGCTAAGGGTTGGTGCTGGAAGGAATGTGGCAGTGGTAACTGGTGCTGGACTGCTCACAATGGTGGCAGTGGCCAGTGGATTTCGTGTGGCTCATCCAATGACTGCAACCGTAACCAGGCTTGCAGCATCGGCGGCTGCGGAGAGTGCGGATGCAGCGGATGCACCAAATAAGTTAAGGTTGCATCCGGAGTTGCGTTTAGGGGGCGTGCATATCGCTTATAGCAAAGAGCACAGTTGTTTGAAGGAATCAGAAATGGGGGCGAAGTTCAACTGCCGGTATAAGGATACTCTCTACTCTTTACGTACTACCAATTCTATACTGTACCCTCAGACGGAAAATAAAATGTGTGATGTGGTTGATGGTTTAGTGACTTAGTGGTTAGTATTTCGACTTGCGAAGTAATTGATACATCCTGGGAGACCAAGGTCCGATTCTCCGCTGACAAAGATCTAATCTCTTTTTTTTCACCTTTCCACAGACTTCTACATAACAATAAGCAGCTACATGATCAAGGCGCAATTTCTGGGCGTCACTTCGTTCCCGTGACGAACTAGCATCCTCGTAGCTAGTTAGTAGTTAGTTCAGGCTTCGCTGTACTGGTAGTAAGCGATGATAATAGCACTTTCATGAGTAAAAATATCAATTACAAACGACGATATACAGCCCAATTCTCTTGTTCACTGCCTTTCTGGGTCATAGATTCTTATGCGCTAGGTTCAATGAGACTTCCGATTACAACAAGAAGCTACAAGGCTACTTCATGCTGTTACTTTGGACTACTTCAGACACACTCTATCTTTGATCATTTTTTCTTGCATTGTCTTAGTCTATATAAGAATATAAAAAGATTGCGTTCTGAGAAGCTGAATGTCTTCTAGAAGTAGGATGCGTTGTAGTTAGCCCGTATACCACCAGCAAGTCTACGAGCATTAGTAGATTTAACAATGGCCTGAACAGTATTCAATATCCATAGCGCGCGTCCTCACCCACTAATATTATTAAAACGTTACATGCTTTACTAAATATAATAGCTCCATCCGTCCCTCAGTAGGCCGAGTCCTGTCCCGCTGAATCAAGGTGGGTATTGCAGCGCGATGCGGGGTATGCGCATTGCCACACCTAGCAATGCGGTTAGCTCGTACGCTGTTCTGCTTTTTCATTTTGAAGATTAGTGTATGGTAATTTTGGGCTGAAATGCCTCATGCAACTGATACACCCACGTGCATGGCAGTGCTTAATAATGGCATTCACATTGGAAAGGTTCAGTTAAGGTTAGCACGTCATTTAGTGCCCATATCTACGAATTTCGGCCCTAGTGCTGAAAATGGCTAGTCAAGTCAGAGGATATCGGTGAGTAGTTGCTACTCTCGTCGATTGTGCCCCCAAGTGCTGGCGCGAGGCTGAGCGGGGACTCCCATTGATACGATCTCAAGGCAGCAGTGTACCACTTGTCGGTTCTTCATTGGCTAGTTAAAAGTTCATATCAAGTAGTTAATTTCAAGAGCTGGTTTCGGCGTCTCCATCTCTGTGTACGGTAGCACAAGTGCCAGAAGAGGAGCACTTCTGAATCATCCCAGCTTCAAAATTCTAAGTCAGCAGAGCCGTAATGCCCGGAACCTGGTTCCTCCCTTCCGATTTTACCTTCACAACCGAAGGCCCGCTTCGGCTAAGCATGGTGATTCCCCACTGGTCTCGACCAACTACCGTCTTTGCGGAAATGGGCTCTGGCAGCAGCAGTGCCGTCACGTTACCCGCGGTCAAAACCACCGTAGAGCGCAACCGGGCTTTCAACCGCTCCAAGCCGCGCTCCAATAGCGTCGGGATGTGGGCCAAGTTCGAAGGGCTCGCCTCAGGGTTGGCCAATACGGAGACAGGCAAGAGCCGTATCACAGACTATAGTACAACGGACCATAAGATCCGGACCTTCGTAGATCCTCTGATGCCCGAAACAGTAAGCACGATTGCGAACCTGCCAACGGTACAGAAACGGATCAATTCGGGTATGTTTGGTAAGCGAGCCGTGTACGTAGTGACCGGGCTGCGTATCGCGACGTCGTCGTTCACTGTCACGGAGGAAGACTCATCGAATTTGTCCATCGAGGTCGAAGGGTCTGGCCCAGCTTCGGGAACGACTCCGGTCGAAGTTGGAGGCAAAATCAAACATGAGAGCGGGAAGACGGCAATGAATTCTTACGATACAGCCCCAGGGATCGTGTTTGCTTATCAAATTCATGTCATACGAACCCGTCGTGCCGGGGTGGAAACAGAGCTCTTTTCTCACACAAGCGGCTTCTTGACTGGTGAAGGAGGACAGAAAGAAGACCCACTGGTGGTTGTGGACGCCACCAAGGAGGAGATCGACGAGGATTTGGAAGAAGAGATTGATTACGAGAGTGCCCAAATTGGAGAAGATGAGACTTGTATTTATCTCCTCCCGAAAGCATGATTGGATGATCTGGGCAATCAGACATGAAATACTACGATGGTGAAGCCCACCGTCACTCTTGTAGCTGCTTGTTCATTTGCTCAATCGCCCCGCATATAGAGACTAAAATATCCAAGTCTTTTTCCTTTTCTCCCCAGTACCACATCGGACTGATGAAGTGCTCTTCTTCGTGGCGAGTAAGTGACATGGCTTCCAACATATGCTCCATGCCCTTCTTCGTGGATATTTTCGCAAGAATCTCCTCAAACCCATTATTTTTCATTATCGATGGGAGTGCTACAGCATAAGAGAGCATCATTGCGACAATGCCGGCGGCAATGGCGGTGGCTATGGACGTCCCTGCGCTGAGATCCGCCTCTGGAAAGTGACTCTTCACCTCGTTGACCATAGATGACGGAACGTCCTTGCCATAAGTACCCAGCTTTTTGCCTGTATGGGCTGGGTTAGAATTCAGGAATACACCTTTCGAATCGCCAGCGTAGATTGAAATGACGTCCTTGTGACTGGCAGGAAAAGATATCCTTTGCGACCATGAATTCCCAGCACTCGCAAGAGCAGAATCTTGTTCCTTGCGATATTTTTTGACCCTTTCAATCGCTTCATCGATTACGGTATGGTTCATCCCCGGCTTATCGTAGTACCCGAAGGACATGGAAATGATATCGACATTCCATTCTAGATCTAATCCCGCGTGCTCGATTGCCTAGCACGGAGCTGTCAGCAAAATTTGTAAAACGGTTACAGGTCCTTACTTTTGCAATGCTTTGCTGACTGTTTTGTAAGATGTGAGTATTCTCGGCCACACGAATTAGGTATAAATCCATTATTGGTGCCACATGCATAAGCAGTCGTGCGATGAACGTGCCATGGCCAAACGAATCGGTTTCAAAGTTCGATTCACTAGTAGTGAAATCTTTCCAGCCCTTAATCCGCTTGGATCTTTCGGGATCCTGGAAAAACTCAAAATCCCTCTTGCAACCAGTATCAAGAATGGCGACTCGTATTGGTTTCTTGATCTTTGCTAATCGTCGACAACGATGGATATGGCCTGCAATCTTTTGCAAATCAGACAAGTATCCTCCAGTGTTGTTGTTGTTGTCGTCGCCAGAACAAAAAGAAGACAAGGTGTCACGGGCCGGGACGGCCGCCAAAAGGGACAGGTATCAAAACAGTATATAGTACAAGTTGTNTATCTCGGAACTGTGGGAGGTGAGGCTAAGTACAGAATCCCAGCCAAGGCGCTATACCCAAACAGGGTAAGTGAGCTCTGGCAATGGCAGCGCCATAACATGATGCGGGCGCTGAAGTCAGTATATCGGCGGATTATTGCGACAGTGTATCTCTTTCCGAGTCTGAAGATTTAGAGATGATACATGAGCTAGCACTGGCGGTGCAAAAGAAGGTGCTGGGTCACGAGCATCTCTATACGCTGGGTAGTATGCGCAGATTGGCGCAAGTGCTTGAAGGCCGAAAGAAGTACGAAGAAGCAGAAAAGACGTACCGACAAGTGCCCGAAAAACAAGAGAAGATCCTTGGGCGCGAGCACGACGCCACGCTTTCAAGCGTCACCAATCTTGGATCAGTGCTTAAACAACAAGGCAAGTACGAAGAGGCAGAAGAGATGTACCGACAAGCAGTTGATGGCTGGGTGAAGGTGCTTGGGCTACTACACCCAGAAACTCTCAAGACCTTAAGTAAACTTGGATCAGTTCTGTTGAGCCAGGGCAGATACGGGGAGGCAGAAGTAATATACGAACGAGCGCTCAAAGGCTTCGAGAAGGAGTTTGCACCAGAGCATATATCAACACTTAACGTAGCTACGAACTTGGGCAGGGTCTACGAGAAGCTAGGCAAGGTTGAGCAAGCTGAGCATATGTATCAGCGTGCGCTAGATAGAGATAAGATCGCATAGGGGCTAGATTATATAAAGGCACATACTATAGTCAACACCAAAGACAGCCTCTACGGTGATCTATTCACGCTTAATGAACCTGAGAAGATACGCCAGTATATGGTGGCTACACACGGAAAAGCCATTCATCCCAAAAGCCCTCCACCTTACTTGCTGGCGCTCAATAATGTTTGGGCTGTTGTCTCTATGCAAACAAAGAGCTGTCTAAAAGACGCTTCACACTAGTATTTCAAAGCTCTCTTGAGCGATTATAAAATCCGTTCAACAGTATGCATAAAATATAGGTAAAACAGAGTAGCAAGCTGCTCAAGCCAGATAAAACTGACCGACCGGGTCAGTACAGTTTCGGTATGACCTGAACGTCACACAGCTGATGAGAGCTTACTCAGCTTATCACCGCTTTTCATTCTCATCCCTGTTGATGCCTGCTTATATAAAGCACTATGTTTAGTGGCAGATATCAAGAGAAATGGAAATCTCTTATGCTAACAACCAACAATTGAGAGACTCGCTGGATAATTCATCTGATGGATAAGATTTCATAAGTCGCAAGATTGAGAACATTTTAGCCTGATTGACGGTACAGTAGACAAAATTACAGTTCCCAAAAACATTCCTTCTAAACGCGGGGGGCAGGAGCAAACAGACTACCTACCATGAGGTGAATGGGTTAAGGGCGATGGGGTAGCCACTATGACGCTCGCTCAGTTCGTCACATCCAACAAGCATCATTAGCAAAGCTTTTGTACTATAAAACATTATATTCGTCATCTTTGCATAGCACTTTACGCATCTTTGTAATCCTCAGCTGCATAAACCTTATCTCTTCAAAGCCTTGGAGGACTATTCATCAGTTACATAATAGTAGAAAGCGTTGCCAAATCAACCATGTCGAGATGTGCCGATGACTTATGCGCATTCCATTCCAGCTCTTTCCTCGTGCCTGGTGGATTCGGCTGACTGCATATGGATATCTTCACAGGTGCTTTGTCCTTACGCATCGACTTTATCCCATTCAACTGCAGAAATAAGACCTTCCCACATGCAATCGTTGATATATTCCTGACATCGATAGCTCGTTTCTATTCTTTCATCTCTTTCTATTCCATATGCAGAGATGAGACGTGCACGAAGCAGAGACGTTCCAAAACAGTACATGGGTTGTTGGAAACTGAACAAAAGAGAGTTTGGAATGAATTCAATAGCCCCTGAAATGTACATAAGTAAACACATGAAGAAAAAAGATTGTAGGGATACATAGTGCTGGTGTAAGATAAAGGCTTACAAGCCTAATCTCCGAATAGCCGCATAGTTTACACTAGTAGCCTTACGCTCCACATATACTCGTGTCAGCACAGTGACACTGACAGAATGACACTGGTTTGGGTTGATCGTCCATCAGTACAGTCAGATTCTTGCAGCGACTTTTGGCCGTGGAGTATCGAGCAGTCTCACTCCGCAAATCACAGCGTATCAGACAACCATTTTTGAAGATCTTCTTACAGTCTGACCATTCACACATCCCGGACACCAGACACCGCAATTTCGGCACCTTGAACCGATTAGAATATCCCATATGGGAGCGGCTTTATCCTTTTGTGTTTGGCTCCCAAGAAAATATATCTAGGGCCAAACACGCCAAGTTTCTTTCGGTGTACATCTGGGCTCGCCACACTAGACCGGTCTTCAGGCTTTATTACTCGTTCTTTGCCATTTCGCAGATATCCCAAAGCCGATCAGCTCGAACTTATCTCTAATAACTAATTCCACAATCACCCTCTACACTCCAGCCATGAAGCTCGCAAGCGTAATAGTCTTCTCCTCCTCCCTTGTGGGCATGGCTTCAGCAGGCTACCTGATCAAGAGTGTGCCCGCAAAAGTGATACCGAGGGTAAAACCAAGAAGCCCGATCAACGGAAAACCTGGGGTAAGCAGAGACCCATAACGGTATCCAGCGCTTCTCTAATACAAACGCTAACGATTCTCAGTGCGACAACAGTCAATGCCCTCCACCTCCCGACATGGGGTGTTTGACCTCGACCAGGCACTCTATCGAGTGTGGCAATGGCAACGACGAATGCTGGATTATTGTAAGAAATTTATTCTTGCATGGATGATGCATAGATGCTAAAGAAAAGCTAGCCACGCGACTGTGCCTCATTGTGCCGATGCGAGTTTTATAATCCTTACAATGACCTGTTGGATTCTTGCGCTCGTGTAAGTAGTGTTCTCATCGCCAACTTGTCCTCACACTGCATTGATGCTAATTTGTTCTCGCAGGGTGTCCCAGGAACAGATAGTTATGAGTGTGTCTGTCTTTTCGACTGCGATCCTTTGGGCCCTAAATCAGGCAATGGTCAATGTACGGCTGATCAGGATGCTTGCAAGAGGTCGTAGGCTGGATCATTGTTCCACCATCACGGCTAGCATATAGGTGTATGTTTAATAATTGATACTAATAGCTAATGCACGAACCGTTCATAGCTAGCAGAACGCTCCCCGCTCTATGGGATCTACATGGTTAATGATTTATCTCCAATCCTCAAATCCTGGTTATATAATTGTTTTACGGTGACAGGCTGTGGCATTCCTTTTACTAAAGGCCCTATAGACGGGGACTAAGCGTAGAACCAGACCTTTTGAAATACTGTACTTTCAAGTGCTAGCATTATCACTAAATGCGATTTCCTTTAATCATCGTAGGTGCATTATAATTAATAGTCGTGTGATAGTTCTGATCGAGTGGGGCCTTGCATTTTCGGACGTTCGGCCAAAACAAATGCATAGCCAATAGTAAACCTATTTCGATTTTCTTAGTAATGGTTACTCTTCTTCCATATACGAGTTACTGACTCTAAGGTGTTGCTTTTGAAGAGAAAGTCATTCTCATAATGCAGCTAATTAATCTGGTATAGGTCGCCGTCGACTTCCAGCAATGCGGCCTTTGATGCGCTTAGTTTTATTTATTGGATCTGCGCTATTGCATATAAATCAATCTAACGCCCCAATAGCCCCTCTATGGCGGTGTTAATGATGCACACACGGAAGAGCCACGTAAGACGTAAAAGAGGAAGTATAAAGTGTCGGTTGAAAAGCTTTTGTAACTATTTATCTTCTAACTAATCATGCTCGATCACCCCAATCGTCTCAACTTATCTCAACCATCTTAATATAAGCTACTTAGAAAATATGAAGACTTCATATGCCGCCATTGTCTCTATTCTCTGTGTTGGAGCCTATTCCTACAACTCTCAGCAAGCCCTTGGCTCAGTCGATGTTCTTGGGACTTCATACGAATGCAAAAACGGTTCGCAATCTCCAAATGAAAATATAGTCAAGGACTCCCGGGAATGCTAACATCAAATGCAGGTGGCACACCTACCCTAGAGTGTACCGATTCCTCTACAGTTCCGACCTGTGCGTGCGCTTGTTCAAACGGCATCACTTTCAACCAGAATCTCTCCCTGAATTCTTCAACTACTCCACCTACGCCTTCCGACGATACCTGCCAGGCAGACAAAGCCATGTGTCTTAGTCGGGAGCAAGACCTCTTAAGAAGAGAGCAGGAGCTTTCCGAAAAATTGGCTAGATTGCAAACCAGCTCTTGGAAATACCTGGGTTGCTTTACAGACGCCATTCCCAGAGTGATAGACAGCAAGACGGAGTACAGTACCGTGATGACACGTGAGATATGTGCGGACTTTTGCACGGACTACGCATTCTACGGTGTCCAGTATTCTACTCACTGTTTCTGCGGAAACAGCTTTGAAACCTCGACTAAGAGTGTTGATGAGTCGGAATGCAACGGGAAGTGTGGCGGGAGCAGCGACATTTGCGGAGGCTATGGTAGAAACAGCCTTTTCGTAAAAGTGCCCTAAAGAGGTTTCCAGATATATGGAAGACCAAAGGACAAGTGTGAGAGAGTAGCAATGGAGGGTGGGCTGCATGAACAGAATGGATGATCTTGAGTGGATATGCTAATTAGGAGGATAGTTAGTTGTACTCGCATCTTCTTCATTATCTGCGGGCCGCATGTTTTTTCGTGAAGGCTTTTCCCAAAACGATCACTGATGAATAGGTGATTCCGCCGTAGTGGCCCATATCTTCATCATTTCGCATGAATAAACATAACATTGTAATCACAGATGTGGTCTAAATCTCTCCTTTTGAGTACAGAACATGGTATGAGACTTCCAAGCCCTATTTAATTATTAGGTAATCGTATTATAGTGATTCTGTTGCGCGATGACAAAGACTCCGGATCCACTTCTTTTCGATCGATCAAGAGGCATAACCATTTCCTAGATCCTAGCTTGTAGAGTGGGTTGGAGTTACATACCGGGGCTAAAGTCCAAAATCTACCCCACCTCTACCCCTACCTGAGGTCTATGCAAACACTATCATACACCTACCATACCTCGTGATGGGATGTGCCCATTTGCTAGCTTGGGAAATATGTAAGAAGCTAGTTCTGTCTGGACAGACACGTCTTTTGGGTTATTGTACACTCCAAACGTCACACAAATACCAATCTTGTACCAGAAAAAAAGGTATGTATTATCTAGAATACTCGCCATCCAAGGTATACTAACCATCAACTGTTCCAAACCAGGACCGAAGAAAACAAAAACAGATAAATCATCATAATCGTCATCATCAGCTCTCGATCTCTCGAATATTTCAAGACCATGATGGGTATTATACAGTTCACTTCACATATCAACCCAACCGATATCAACGGAGAAGCGACACGTTTTCTCAAAGATAACGCAACGTACCACCGTTGTACTTCCAGAGCTGCTCCAGACACACAGAAGCAGCCACGTACTTCCAGCTCTGGAGACTGCGATAGTTCTCCCAACCTGTTACCTCCAACGCCACCATGAAACACGCAATAGATCGCGGCAACGCCTCGGTAGCATCTTCTTCACCATCCCGGTCCTTGTCGCCATGGACAATGGTTTTGATTATGCTGCTGACATCGCGGTTGAAGCGCTCCTGGACCTCGAGATTGGCCTCGCGGATGTAGCGGGAGGGCGCGCGCTCCTTCTTTCCAAGGATATTGCCGCTGAATACTTCCAGTTCAGTAAGAGGCTGGCCGCGCGTGGGACGCAGCGTATCCATAATCTCGAGCATGTTGTCCTCGTACGTCTCGCGCAGCTGCTCGGCAAAGTCCCAGTGGTGCTCCCACTGTAAGCCCTGTGTCTCGCGAATGATGTAGCGCTTGAGTTTGTGAATCAGCGACTCCTTGCCCCAGCGCTGCCGGAAGATCTCGTAGTCTCTCTTCATCTTGTCGAAGAACTTCTTTTCATCAATGGCGCGGTACAGAATTCCTAGGATTTTGTCACTACGGTAGTAACGAATCCTCCCTTTGTCGGCGTCAAGCACACTAATGCTGTCAGGATCATCAATGTCGTCTTCTTCAAGTTCTGCGAGTTCTGCTGCACCAAGCTCGTTGATGACCAAGTTGGATCCTGGCGCCATGAAATCAGGCCGGAAGTGATCGATGCCCTTGGGTATTTGCGACATATCCGCCGGTACACCCGTCTTACTAAAGTCAACAGCATCAGAAGCAAGCTTGGCGAGAATCAGGCAGTCCGGATTTCGCGTGCCGTCAGGTTTTACATCGGCTCGAATCTTGTGCTTGTTGGAAATCTGACCCAGGCGATCCATTTTCATGTACTCAATGAAGAAATCGACAATGTCGTTGGCTTCCACTGGGCGACCCAAGTCCTTGGCAGGTATTTTGTCATATTCTGCTGGCTCCACAGTGTAGGCAGGAACGAGCCTCTGGTCGTATATGATGTGAAACAGGTCGCCATCAAGATCGCCTCCACTCAATTGTGATGGCAGATCGCGCGGACCCTGTTGTGAGAACACAACACAGTTATGAAGAGCACGGAGGGGTGAGTCGTCTGGGACATCTACTGCATCCACGAGTTGGACGTCACCAGGGTGCAGTGCTGGAGCTCTGGTGACAACAATTTGATTACCAACAAGGATACTCCTCTTCAGCTTCCCGGTCCTGTCATGGTCCTGTGTTGCAATATAGACCTCGCCATACTTGAGGGTATTCGTCTCGTCCATGACGCCGTACAAGAGGTAGCCTTTCTCGATTGGGATTCGAGCGCGGTACTTTAGACTTCTTAGTGAAGACATAGCTGCCACCTCCACAATGTCGGTCAGGAATCGATCCGCATGAAAGGACAAGCCTATGCGGTGCATCATTTCAAACAACTGTGGTACCTTGGCAAAGACACAGGAGTGTGAGTATGCTGTAAAATGTCAACGCCAATTCTGATGATGTAAAGCCTAATAAAAAACGTTGTTAGACTGTAAAAAATAGTGCTTACCAAGGAAGCTAGCAGCATTTAGTGGATGCTCAGTTATAAGTTTCAATGTGTTGACAGCCTCATCCTGTACACCCAGAAAGTTCTCCGCTGGGACGCCCAGGTCTTCCAGTATCTTGATGAACTGATGATTAAGAAATACTTGAAGTGGCTTGTAAGCGGCTCCGCAAAGCTCCAGGTCTCTCCAAGTTTCTTTAGCAATGTACTTTGTCATGCTTTTGCGAACATGTAACTGTTGACCAGACAAGGATGCATCGAGTGACAGGACCCCTTTGGCGCCTCGGTATCTAATCTGCAGGACGGTCGGCCTCTGCTGCCTTCGCTCTGGTGGGAGAGCGCGCCATACAGTACGGAGAAGCTCCAGTGATATTGTCCCGCAGCCATCACTAAACGTGCGACCGTTTCTCTCAACATCGTCCTTGACTTCGGTAACGTAGGCGGTTTCTGGAACTGGGACTGAGAATATCGTGTCAGAAAAGGCTTGACCGATTCTGGCGGCACACTTTGCGCTGCAATGGATATGCGAAAAGTCTCCAAGGTCTTGTATAACGTTTCGGGCGCGGACCAGGGACCCGTCCATCTCAAAAGGTGCCATGAACCAAGCTTGATGATTGCGCAGTGAAGCATGGGAAAAGCCGAGGAACTGAAAGGTCCGTCCTGCAACTGAAATACCGTTCTGAAGGACATTGCGGAAACGCTCATAGACTTGATTCTGGGACGCACGTGAGTCATGGAACACGGATAGTCCATCTTCATCGGCGAAGAAGACCCTCATAAAGTACTCGGTTCGTGTACTGTATTTTCGAAGGACACGGTTGGACACGTCCCAGTCTGGGCCTCGGAGTAATATACCTAAATATGGCATTAGTGCAATGAAAGTCTGTACATGCCCAAACGCTTACATACCTGTTGGTGTTACAGTGGCTTTGTAAGTCAAAGCAAGATGATGATGCTTCTTTTGCTTGCCATTCAAATCTCTGGAAGCTAGTTTCCAATGTTTGCAATCTTCAGCATTCTCTTGTACGAGTTCGACGAACTTCCTCACCT